GTTCACTGCTTAAGATGGTGTCTTAAATATGCATAAAACATGCAGTTTGAAACAGCAARGCAGTATAAAACAGAACATTTTTATACTTCATTGAGTTCTTCTTTATTTTTTCTCACTTTTCTTGCTTTGCTCCATTAGATTTACTGTAGGGAACATCAACTTTACTACATCAGGGCTCAACATCAGAAGTGACCACAGTGAGCAAACGAAGAGAGCAGGCAAAGGCAGAGAACTCCTGCTGTAGATGCCTCACTGAGCTCTCACATCYCCACAGCCCTGAGATCTGTCAGAGCTGAGTCAAAGCCAGGCCCACAGATGCAGAACAAGGAGCAATGGATGCATGCTTCCATCCCTGTTCTATCAGGACTAGAAAAGGACTCTGTGTTATAAGTTCACACTTTCCCCACACACAGACACTGCCAGATGATCTGCGCTTTCAGAAGCAAATTAAATTCTCATGGTTTTGTCTTTAAAACAAGCCATTTTTTCCTAAAGGTAGACATAGAGCTGTTTAAAAAGGCAGAACATTGCATGGCAGTTCAGTGGCACTGCCATCCTGCAGACTGGAACTCACCACATGTTCCAAGGGGACTAAACTCCCAATATATTCCCAGCTCTGAGAAGGTGARTGGGGGATGAGCTCTCTAACAAAACTATATCTTTAAAAGAAAATGAAATACTTTATTTCTGAAAGTGCTTTTTGATCACTGTAACCTTTGGTTTTACCCACTCTGGTGTCTCCTGCCAAGTATGGTTTCCTGATGACACATCATCATGGCACCAGGAATGGACRTGTTGATAAGTTAAATTATGGGACTACTTTCAGACCATTTTTATAGCTGAAAATTCTCATGCCATAAAAGAGTCGTCATACAATCMTTTCACTGTGGAAAACTGTTATTTTTCTTAGAATAACTTTGAACTCTGTAACTTTTTGGGAAGGGGGTTGTTTTTCAAATGAAACCCTGCTTCCTTTCTTCCCCAAAAAACTCAGCTTGTATTAGCTGGAACAATTCCAAATCCACAAAGATATGCATTCAGACAGATTGTAAATTTAGCTAGAGCATTTGCATGTTACTAAATCCAAACAAAGATCTAAAGCAAGACACAAAATATCACAYGCACACACACAGAGACAGAAAAGTTTCAAAATGTACGGACTGGCATTTTTAAAGCTGAGTGAGGGACTCAGCCTCACAAGTTCGAAAGAAATTGATTAATTATTTGGTTGATAATCTTGGTTCATGTGCCAGGTTAATTCCTGAATACAACTTCATTGTCTTCAGTGGAGCTGAACWGCAAATGTATTTGACAGATAGTCATGATTCTTCTCCAAGAATAACWTCTAAGGCAGAAGTTTTAAACATGAGTGAATGAAAGTCCTGTGCCAAGTTCTACCCTAATTTATACCCTGCACACAACAGCTGACTTGGAAGCGAGGGTGTGAGGAAAGGCAGGAGGAGACACAAGTCTGTTCTTCCCTTGCTGGGACGTTACCTCAGTTCCCTTCAGTGATGGTCATCTCTCCAAAAAACACAGCGGGAATCCACCATGCAGTTTGCTGGAGACTCTTTCCTTCCAGCCTGCAAGTTCTTGCATTTCACAARCAGTAARTGTTCAGGGAAGAGCCTGGACTGGYCTCAGTGCAGGGTTATGAAATTCTCTCCTGTTAACTGCTGCATYAGTCTGAATCTTGGCTGCTTCAAAATGAATTTGAAGATAAGTGCTGGAAATGGCCATTTTAATATGCATACTGGAATTAGTCACTTAATTTAATCAGAAAGATAATGTGTTTCAGACAGTTTCAACCGCAATGTTATTTTGAATCAAAACCCAGCATTTGGGTTGTTTTGGGTTTGTTTTTTTTTTTTTCTTTTTAAGTCTGTTGGGCTATTTTGGCTCATTATTAAACATGTTTAATTAAAACTGACTGGTCAAACAGTGCACACACCTTTGCTCAAGTGAGAGGCAAGTAATGTGCATCTCAACTCATTTTTAATACAACGTTGCTAAGGACCTGAGGGAATTTTATTGCTTTCCCCAAAGCATCATTTAAACCAACAGCAGAAATCCGAGTTCTACAGCTCTGAGTGTAGCGAATTGCTAATGTCCTCACTTCTGATTCTTTGCTGGCAGAGTTATTTTRCTGAAAAGTGATGTAATCTGGCAGTGAGTGAGCTCAGCATAAACAGCCTGGCTCCACAGTAATACCCCTGCTCTGGGGGATCATTGCTGGGGCAGGAGGCACGAGCCAGCAGCTTGGCCTCCAGACTGACAGCCCAAGCACTTGGATGCCCTTTGCAGCTCTTCTCTCATCGACTATTTTCAGTCAAAGCATGCAGCAAAGTCACTAATATTGTTTTAATACCCAACTGGATGTCAGAGGCCTGTGTGCTAAGCACCCCTAATGAGGCAAAAGTGAAGACATTTCCCATCCAACATAGGCTGCGACACTTACAAACAGAACAGACTCTGGATCAAGAGCATCTCACGTTCCCCTTCTGTGAAAAGCAGCTAGCTGCTAATCCTCAGCCTCATAAAAATGTGTGGAAGTGAAAAGCTTTACAGGATGGGCTGTGACCATTTTGTATTTTGAAGTATTTTGAAGGAATTGGCTGGGTCAGGAGCAGGGAGGCTGAGCTGAGACAGCCCTGCAGGAGCAGCAGCTCTGCACAGCCCAAGGTGCCCCTAAAGCTGGCACAGAGCACTCTGAAGCTGAAGGTGATAGTTCTCCACTCACTGGGGTTGTGCTAAGGTGCTATTTTCCTCCCTTCATCAGGCCCAAAGAGAATTAAAGCATGTATTAAAGTACTTTACTGGCAGCAGTGCCTAGCAAGTGGCTCCCTGAGCTTTCTGTGCTCCMCACAGAGATGTGCCAGCAGAGAGACTGATTGCCATGTGACTCTGCGTATGACAGCACCTTCCACCCTTCCTTTCTTTAGTTCAGCTCCCTCCTAAACATGCAATTCTTTATGTATCTGTATGTGCTGGAGACAAATACAGCCTAGCTTTTCCTTCCTCACCAGAATTACTCCTGTGATCTCTAATTATCACCTCTGCAGCTCTGCACACCTGTACCATTTCATCCTGTGTACAGAACTGTAGGTTTCTCTTCCCAGGCTCATCTCAGCAGCTGCAGTCCAGTTCTAGTTTTATTTATTAGGAATTGTCACCTTCTCACCATTTATGCATGGGCTACCTCCAAAATCAGCACTTTTTTCCTTCAGAGCTGCCGTCTTAGTCATGCTTGACAGACTTTCTTCCATTCCCTCCATCATTTTGACTCTCCAATTCCCACCTATGAGTAAAATCTTATAACTAAATGGATCATATTTAAGTATAAAAATAGTTGCACAAATTCTTCTGCCTTTTCTCTCTCTTCATTAGCTACTCCTGGTCCAGGCACAGGCTCAGGCATTGCCACACAGGTGGCCCATCATTGCTTCTCCTTCACAAAATGCCTTGTCAAAGGAGAAAGCATTTTTTAATTCTGTCCTTGATAAAGAAGATAATAAGAGAGAATCTATTACTGCTAGTAATAGCTTAGAGAATAGAGTCATGACCAAACTTTCAAAACAAAAAGATGCTTGAATTGTTCCAGCTGAGATAAAAGGTACAGAAAAAAAGGTCCTGGTGCAACATCACCATGGAAGGAAAATAAGCYACCAGGAGGTCATCTTGTACTGTTGTGACATTCAGGTTAAGGACCGTGACTTGAAAAGTTACTTTGATTAAGAATTGCCACATCTACTCTGAGAAACAAGGACACCATTTCAGCAAAGCCTAAGCAGAAAAAGATCAAAGTAGGATTTCCTAAGAAAAAGAGAAACTTAAAACCAACTTAAAATTGCTCCTTGTGTGTTGATCTCATTTCCTTAGGATTAGCTTCTTATTACCCCTACTTATTACCCCTACTTCATACCCTAAGTATGAAGTTAATCTTAAGTCTAATAGTTAATCTTAAAACTAATATTCCGATTGTCTGATTAAGCAAATCTTAATTCATTAGATTTATTCTGCAGACTGTTGCTCTATCCTACCATTGGCATAGAAGTCTGGGATGTAGGGCACTCTCTGGCTTCAGTTACGAAAAAGATCAGAAATGGGTTTTACTGTCCACCTGAGCCAAAGGAAGAATGGGACAATCCTACAGGGCTGATGATGAGGAAGAGCTTTCCTGTAGCTGTAATTGCTGCATTTCTAGCTAGYGCAGTGATATCTGTGGCTTCATTTGCAGAAAGCATTTTGGATGGTCTGCTGTGCTAAATGATCCATTTACATCACTAGAAATTCAAAGCACTGCTTAGTTTTAAATTCAAGAACAAAGTCTATATAAGATGTTTTTACAGTGTTTGGAGGGATAGAAAAAAATTAAATACAAGAACATAAATAACAAGATCTTAGCCTAGAAGCTGAAACTAAGAACAACCTGTCCAGTGCTCCAAAATCCAAGCTTCTTTTTTTTTCTATTTCTGCAAATTGATTAATAGYRTGTTTGACTGWTGGTTTAAAATATTTTATCTGTTTGCTTCAAGTACACAAAACATGGARGTTAAACTATTACAAGGAAGGCATGCCAAAATAGAGAAGAAAGCTATTTAGCCAATTATTTCTGCCTTACAAGGTTTACAATCCTAAGGGAAGTTTTCAAGAATAAAATTAATTTCAACAACACTTGTTTTGAAGTGTCAAAGCTGGTTCCAAAACTGCCAACTCTTTTTCCACTGGCTATAGGAAACCTAAAGCATCCAAAGTAGTGGCTTTAATTTTGTAAAGAGTTTTGGTTTTATTTTTGTTTYGTTGCCCCCCTCCRAAAGTGMAAAGTGGGCCACAAACAGTGACAAGTTCTCCAGTGCCACAAAAWGCAACACTGAGTTCTGTTCACAGTTCAGGGGAGTTGTTACATGTCCACTCACATTGAAAACTTTGCTGGAAAAGCTTTAAGAATCTGTTGAGTTGACGTCTTGTTCTTCTCACCCAAAATCTCTTTGTCCCTCCAGCTCTCGTCGTGCGCTTCCTGACCAAGCGGTTCATCTGGGAGTACGACCCAACGCTAGGTAAGATTTTATTTTCCTGGAAAAACAGTGTGGAATAGCATGGCTGAAGAAATGGAAATCACAGAGTTAAAATTCCAAGCCTCAGCCAGCCTTTAAATTTGCTGTAAAAAGCTTCTCTATGGTCATTTTAAGCTGAAACAAATTGTAACCTAAGATGGCAAAATAGAGAAGCAGAAACTTGAGTTGTTGGATGAGGCACATTTCTGCCCACTCAGAAATCCATGGGAATTTTGCCATTGAAATCAATTGCTTCAGTATTTCACGCCTCAAATTATTTAGTGTGAGATCAGTTTCCTGCTTTTGGATAACCCAAATGTCTTCTGCTAGAGAATAAGATGACTGGGATACAGATCTTAAAAATTCATTGCAAAAGGAAAAAAATATACAGCTTTTTCCAGTTGCTCTACCTAGATTTAGCTAAGTTTTTTGTCCTCACTTTCAAACATATGCTGTCTCTCATTTTTTGGGTGATCAGATAGGGGCACCAATCATCTCAAGGGCATCCACATGTCACTTGCACTGTTCCCACTTAGCTCTCTTGGGTCTGGCACTTTCAAGAAGCTGGCTCGGACATCTCAAAACACCTGTCAAACGGTTGCCCTGAATTAGATGATTTGCTTAAAATCTGTGGCAAGGTAGGATTTCTTGATATTTCTTAAATTAGAATATGTTTAAATGTTCTGTGCCAGAGCAGATCCAGACCAAGAAGTCCAAGACAAGGCATTCATGTCTTAGAAGGTGCCTTCAATACCTCAGGGTAAGTGATTCACACTCAAAGTAAAGGGTTAAAAAATTCCCTTTTGTCCAACAATGTGTTGTTCACTCATTCCTAACATTTCTTTGTAGGCTCTAACACAGTATAGATCATATAGCTATACATAAATTTCTCCATTAAKATTCTTTCTTTAAGAGGTCTGCTTAAGGAAATAGAAAATGCCATAAACTTGCATAGCAGAAATTCTATTACAGAACCCAGGTAACCCTTTGAAAAAAGCAAAGTACCCAGGATCATACTAAGTATTTTTTTTGGAGAAATGGAGAGATGACAGATATCAAAACTCCCATCTTAGGAAAACAAATCTCARTGCAACCTGAACTCAAATACATTCTTTTATCTGCTGCTATCAATATATTCCTCAGKGAATTGTATGCACAGTGCTGCACAGTGGAATGTTCAATAGAATGTTCTGTTAGTATTATTAGTTTTAGTACTTCACATTTCTATCACTAGTACATCGTTTTAAGAAKTTGACAAGAGGTGTATAAAGTCTTTTCTCGTGTAGTCCAAGTTCATCAATTTCTTACAGGGGCACTCTGAGAACATTTTTGCCTTGTTCAGCCACACAAATGAAGTTACCAGCAAGCTACAAGGTTTATTATTTTTTGCCCCATTATGAAGGCCCCATGTCTTCTTGCTGTACAAGACTTGACATTTGTTTCTGTTTTACAAATGAATACAATTGCAAATTACCATGCCCCTCAGGAATCTAATTGTCTACTCTTTGCAGCACGGAAAGCTTTCGTGCAGGCAACAGTCTTATCTCAATAAACTAAAAATTAAATCTCTTCTGATTTAACTGAATTCTACATCCCCATTCAGTTTAGAGAATAATAGCTCAAATTATGTATTACAGTCATTGTGATGYTAAATGCTCTAGGGTGCTTGGAGGAAAAGGTTGAGAAATTCAAAAACTAATAAACTATTGTTAATAAGTTATTTCTTCATCACAGTAATCTCTGGTGGAAGCTGCTCACCATAGTTTGTTTTGTAAAGTATTATTTTGTCAAACTATAGATCACAATGGGATCCAAAGAAGGTTCTGAAGTGTTAGAGATGAAAAATTATCTTGAAATCATAACCACTATTCAGACCATCAGAGATCAATGAGAAAGGAACTGTACCTTCAAAAGCTTTGAAAAACAGTGCCTGAAAAAAATGCATTTCTGTCTTTAGAGACAGAAAAAAATGCATTTCTGTCATCCTGCAGAGATTTGGTGTCCAGTTACCTGTAAACATCTGAATTCACTGAGAAGTTTTAGCAGAATAGATTTATTTCTACTTAGCAGTCAAGGACTGGCAGTTCTGTCAAAAGATGAACATCTACATGCTCAATCAATGTGACAAATTAAAGTTGTGTCAGTGAAAATAATTTCCTCTACAGGGAGAAATAAGCAGCTTTGTCAARTTTTTCTAAAAGGACAGGAATAAAACAGATGCAAACCATACAGCAACTAAGCAACTTTTTGTTAAAAATCACTGGGGTTGTGACAAAAACATCGAATTTATAGTTAATTTCTTATGTTAAGTTTTCAACCACTCATTGGCCCTCTGATGCAAGCAATCCCCAGATAATTCCTATTTTTAGGAATTTTTCCCAATTCCTATTTCACCAGCTGTTCATGGCCTGATGGAAATTCAACATTTACCTAAACTAAGCATTGTATTAAAAAAACCCTATTCCTCTTTTCGTTCAAGGGTGTCACATTTTAACTGGAAGGAAAAAAAACACACCTTATAAATATTCTTTACTATTCTAACCTGCCAGAAGAAAATAAAGGGCCATATTTTTAGCAGCACCTGGATAGACTGCTGTACCTCCAGGAGCCAAATTACAAACCACAAAATCACATTTTCTGGTAGGGGGAACGTCACTGAACCTTGCAAACTTTGGAAGACAGAGCTGCTGCYGAAGTGAGTGCTTTGCAGCTCTCCCAGTTTTGTGCACAATGCTGGATCTGTGCAAACGTTGGTGGGACAGCTGCATCTTCACAAGAGTCCATCTCACTCTGCTTTTTATTTTACTGTTCTCAGCCAGAGGGCAACAACCACAGCAAAGGTCATTTTCTGGGCAGTGTTAACCATCAGCCTTGACCTGTCTATAATTTCTGTTTGACTGGCAAGTCATTGTCAACATCTTAGCACGAGGTTTCTATTGGTTTTTCAAAAAGGTGCTAAATTCCTCAGGCTAAATTCCTCAGGCTAAATTCCTACCTGACATTAGCAAGGTGAATGATTTTCTACATCCATCTTCATTTATAGTAAATCTCAGCTATCTCACATTTTCAACAGAATTAAACAAAACAGCTCTATGTAGAAATGGGCTAGAGCTGTACATTTTAAAAAATGCACGCAGTTGTTTCCTAAAATATTAAATACATGAAGAACTCAGCATTAAACTAATCTTCTTTAGCTTGTAAAATACATGCTGAGAAAGGGGAATGGGTTCTCACATGCATTTCACCAAACTTCATTAATGTTTGCATGTTTTTAAATAGAACACAACTTAAAAAATGTATAAGCAAGCTCAGTGTGATGTTAGAAGGCCTCACAACCCTCAGATGGTTTTGGGCACCACCTGTACCACCACTTATCATGAATGTGGGGCTCCTGTGGACCTYTGTGACCCCAGGAATGGCCCCACAATTTTCAAAGCTGCTGGGARTAGCTGCTCTCCCCATAAACTGCAATAACACTCCACATCCCAGCAATTCCCCCATGAGTTACTGGCAGCATTCAGAATTCAGGGTACCTTCACCAGAACTCAAAAGAGGGGGAGAATATTGTGGTTCACTGTGATGTTGAATTGATTTTAGAATTGGAGATGCTGAATCAGAGTAATCAAGGGAACTACTAAATTTATTTTTTTCCTGGGAGGCCAGAAAGAAGGAGGAAGCCCAAAGAGCCATCACAGCAGCAGAGAGACAGAGGGCCTGCAGAGCTCTTTGTGGGTAGCAGCAAATTTCCTGCCTCCATAAGCCATGACATGCAGGGAGGATCTCCTGCCTCAAATGATGAAAGGAGAAAATTCATCATTGCTATGGCTCAGTGCTTTGAAAAATAACTTTTGCAGCATTTCTCTCAGAAGACATTTGTTGTTCCACCAAAATTGGAACAATTTCCTTTACTAGAAGCAGAGTATCCAAGAATTTAGGAAAAAAAAAAAAAAAAAAGAAAAAAAGAAAAAAGAGGGGATTATGAATAGGTTTTGTCATTTGATCTGCGTTAGCATTTTTATGTATAGTTGGGAGAATCGGGGGGTTCCTGAGGGTCAGGGACTTAAACATCAATTTTTGCTGTATAGGAAAAAAAACCCAAACAAATAAAACCCCAGGTAAATACAGAAGACAGGCTCCTCAGTTCTTTTCTTGTTTCTCTAACTGATTTGCTGCTTGCAGTCTCTCTGCCACTGTGTTTCAACTATAAAATCCTTCATTTTACAGAAGGATTGAAAACCCTTTGAGTAAATCATACTCAGATTTGAGACACGTATCAAAGGCACACACAAACACCAAGCAAAGACTGGATTTGAARCAAAAGCCTACTTATATCAGCAAACAAGGAGATAATATTTTTGTTGACCTTTCTAAAAGTGTCTTGGCTTTCTCTCACTACCCCTAGATGTCTTTCTCTGTGTTCTGTTCACACATTTCATATGATTTTGCCAATCCACTGGAAGGCAAACTCTCCCTGGGCACATAATCAGTAGAAGAGGTCATGACTGACTGTCCTGGGTATGAAGGAAAAGACAGAAAGAAAAGGAGTTTATTGAATTTGAGTGGGATAGAGAGAAGACTYTTCACTGCTTTAAAGGAGCAGAGATAACTGTGAGAAATGGTCTGAAGAAAAATTRTAATTTTGCCAGCACTGCTAGATTAATGGTGACGTTTTTGAAGACTGTTTCTTCCAACTCTATCACASTTTCTTTACAGCTTTTTGTTCTCCTTTTTCCTTCTGGGAGAATAAAAAACTTGAGCTGGGTTTCTTAAAGGTCCTATCTAATGAACTATACAGACAGCCCATAGGAAACCATCAAACATGGGGAAAATGTGTAGGTTTCCGGAAAGTAAGAAAGATAGGAGATAAAGTTGTACAAATTGCTTGAAGGAAGGAGACAGAAACCCCTCGTAGAGCCCAGAATTCTCCCACAGCAGAAAACTAAATCTCCTGCAGAYGAGTGCAAGACTTACAAATTTCACAACTGCAGCAAGAACAGCAGAAA